AGTCACAAACAACACATATGATATGACTTCTTTCACATGAAATGTTCAAAATAGGCAAATCCATAGAGAAGAAATTAGTGTTTACCTAGGGCTGGGAGTAATGGTAGAAGATAGGTTTGAACAGTTAAGGGATGTAGAGTTTGGGGAATAATAAAAATATTCCAAAATCAATTGCATCCATGATTGCACAATTCTGTGAATACACTAGAAGACATCGGATGATATACTTTAAATTTGTGAATTGTATGGCATATATATTTTAGCTCAATAAAACAGGTTGAAATGAATCTGTAGTGTTAGAAGTCAAGAGTGTAGTTGCTCTTTGGGGACACCAGATATGACTTGAAAGGACTCTTAAGAAAACCTTCCAGAAGGACAGGAAGGTTCTGTTTCTTTATCTGCAACCTTATTAAAAAGGCACATGAGTGTGTTCCCTTTGTGAGAATTCACTGACCTGTTTACCAGTTATGCACCTTTTGGGGTCTATGTTTTTATTCAATACATTTTCAAATCTGAAAAACTCTACCAGATGTGGCAAGTGGATAAAATGGTCTCTAAAAGGGTCCACAAACCAATTTTAAGATTCTGTGACTATTTTACCTTATATGCCAAAGGCAAATTAAGGTTTCAGATGGAATTGAGGTTGTTAATGAGTTCATCTTAAAGTACCATGTTAATCCTGGATTACTTGTACTGCCTCCGTGAAATCCTTAAAGATCCTTAAAAGAAAGAGGAGGAGGAAGAAGAGAGATCATCGTGATATGAAGTGATGTTGAAAGGACTCCATGGGCCACTTCTGGCTTTAAAGATGGAGGTAGGGGTATAAGTCATGCCATATGGAGCCTCTGGAATCAGGAAAAGGCAGGGAAACAATTCTACCTAGAGCCTGCAGAAAGGAACCCAGCCTCACGACCAGTGGAAATATAAGAGGACAAAACTGTGTTGTTAAAGCCACTAAGTTTGAGGTGATCTTAGTGGCAGACAGAGAAAACTAATATACTGGGAGGCATCCATTTCTGTATATTAAATCAGAATTGGGAATTAGATAGAACTAAATACACACACACACACACACACACACACACACACATACTCACATACATACAGACAGACTTCAGGCAAAGTGGGAGAACTACAGAACAAAAATCATATCCCCTAACTAGGCATAATAAACCTGCATATGGGCACGGAGCCTGCACTGCTGCTGAACTCTCACGTGCCCCATCTATGATCAGTGACAGCAGATCCCAGTGAAGAGGAGAGGTAATGGCTAATGTGTCCCCAGATGACCTAAACCCTGGCAGGTGGCCAATCTAACGAGGTGTTAATGAGTAGGCAGATAAATCTGGATAGCTATAAAAAGAAGCAGTGGCTGTGAGAAAGAGAAATTAATGGGCATGTCTCAAAAGTTCTGGAACTCACATCTTATGACACTTGGTGGAGCTGTGTTCTGCAACTTTGTTCAGAATTTCAAAGCTAAAATGCCCACGAGATTTTTAAGTAATAGCCAGATACTGGTCCACAAACAGAATTGAAAGGAAAATTGCAGGGGCAATTTTTGAAGCATAGTGCACTGAACCTTTCATTCTACTTTAAACATGAAAAACTAGTGACTTGAGTACAAAATGTGCCTAAAAGTGTGTTTTTTAAAAGATAGGACCGTGGTGCAAATGATTCTGTTTTCACAATTTTAAATTCAAACAATCCTCTGAAATTCTAATAATAAAGTATCACCTGTGTTGTTTTCCCCTTTTTCTTCCACAGGAAATATTCAAGGCAATAGAACAGAACTCCTCTCATCCTCTCTCAGGAAACTCAGAGAAAATGTGTGAGTACATGCCTTCTCCCTGACTTTACTGTCTTGACACTATCTAGAAATGACATAGAATCCCACGTAATCATATGCTCACTCTTAGAAGTAATCTTACTGTTTCTCCCCTCATCTGGCTAGAATATTAGTCTTCACATTATGAAACTATTCTTCTGGTTCAAGACATGATATTCATCTGTAAAATATCTTCCTAAATGACAACAGTGAAATTTAATCTTAGTGCTACCATTCCATGACTCCATGAAAAAATAAGTCAATTCCACCCTGAGACTTTTTTGGTAGAGATCAGAGCAAAGTCCTGGCACCATAAACTCTTCATCAGGATCAAATCCCATCACTAAAAGGAAGAAGACAATCCTCTGAGCTCTTTTCTGAAGCATGTGAGAGCCTTTTCTTGGTTGGTAACAATTGCCTCCCTCTGTGCCCTTATTAATTTCCTATTTTCATATTCACCATGAAGAGGGACCTAGGAAGGTTAACTGAAGAAGGTTAACCCACACACAATATGCATTACCCATTGCCCTTTCCTGATTTCAAATTAAGTATATAATTAGCAAAAAAAGAGGAAATCCATGCCTTCTGGTGATGAAAAATTAGGAAATCAATAGGTGGTTGCCTCAGCAGAGACACAAGGGAGTTTTAGGTCGCCAGTTGGGGCTGCCAGTTATAATATCTGAAATGGCAACACAGGCATCTTCTTCAGGCCTCAAAGCACTGAGCAGATGCCCCACTTCTGGGCTGGCTGGCTCCAAAGATTTGCAGAGGAAAATGAAAAGATGAAATTGATCTGTTACAATGTTGGTACAATGTAGAGGCGATGAAATTGCCTGTTAGTGCTGCCAGAAAGCTTGGGGAATGAAAGATCTCAATATATTCTTTAAAATATTGAAATGAAGAGAAATTGCTTTCTATGATTTCCCCCCAAATCATATAGATTATGCATTACTTCCATTGTCTACCACTTCGTATAGCAAGAATGCAAGTTTAGGACGTTGTTATGTGGCTGCCCTCTTAGGTGTTGGAGGATATATAGCAGTTTTTACCCTTAATTGTGCATTGCCTTGATTTTATGGCTAGCTTGCACAACCCAGCATCTTTTTAGTGCTGTTTGGGGGACTGCTACATTTATTGATGTGCAGAGCTTTCTGTGTTCATAAACTCCTACATATGGAGACTTGAATCAACCTTTTTGTGTAAATTTCTTCAGTGACACTATCCTTTTCTAAACACTGGCAACCCACAGCCAACTGAAGAAATAAACATTCAGTTTTGTGTATTTGTATTCAGCCTATTCCCCATGTTGTAAGATACTGGGTAGTGTACAATTTCAATGCTACATAAATAAACCCTTGTTGTATTCATTCACTTAGGTTTATGAACAGCAGAGTACTAGAATTGTTTTGTTCCAATCCAAGTCTCAATTATTGCTTTTAGAGAAATACACTATTTAATTAGCACCATTGGATTTCCCTTCACCCCCCAAAATAGATGTAATGTCTTGTGTAGCAATTAGTATTTTGGGATTATGTTATAATTTGTTCTATGCAAAATTAACCTAGCATAAGATCAAAAGTGTTCTTTCAAGGTATTTTTAACCTGGTTTCTTTAAAGTTAAACATAACTGCTATTCAAAAAGCCTACCAAGAAAGGCTCCTCCTTCAGATCTGACTGTTTAAAAGCAAGGGATATAGAAAGAACTCGGCTTATATTCTACCCTTGATTCATTCTGTATGATTCTATGAGTCCCAATTTCACTATTTATTGAAGAGTATTATTCAATCCTACATGTTAGTGTTGTCACTAACATGTACTTTACCACTAGATTGACTCAGACAATATCCAAAGTCTTGAAACCATCTAGGAAACTTTAGGGACCCTTCACCCTGGGGCAAGTTCTCCACCTCTATGCTCTCATTGGATGTTATATTTCCCAAAACATACTGCTCTGCATTGTTTGTATGCTGGTATGAATCTATCTTCTACCACTTTCCCTCCCCTTCTTAATTCTTCCCACACTACTGATTATGAACTTGCTGGGAGCAGTACTAGGCCTAGATCTAGTTTGTGATGGCTATTCATGCTCATAACCAAACATGCCCATTTATGCACTCTTTTGAACATGTGGTAGGAGTACATGCCTCAAAAGGAAAACATGTACGTTGAATAAGTTCATGTGACTATTGGACCCATGAAATGTGAACAGAAATAATGGATATCACTTTCAAGGCAAAGTATTTAACTGCTCCTTTGATACACTACAAGGTGTTTTGTCTTCAATGAATGGAAACTCTTAAGATGATAGCTACTCAAGTTGACATGAACTACTACAATAAACAATCTTATATATATCCATGATAAAAACATAGAATGAATGAGAAATATATCTATGTTGATTTATGCCACTGCAAATTTGAAGTTATTTGTTGCTGCAGCAGCTCAGTCCATTTCTGACTGATACAAAGATATAGTCCAAGTCCTTGACAAAAGTGACTAGCCATCCTAGAGTCCTCATAAACTATTAGTACAAATGTGTCCTCATCAAACATAGTACTACTAAGCAGGGTATACCTCATTAGGGTGATTCACAATACCTTTTTTTTGTTTTCTTTCCACGCCAAGTTTTCTTGAAAGTAGAGGATTTTTGTAGCTGTAAGAATGAAAGGCTCAGTTCTCTTTTATTTGAATCAGGCCAGACCTCCAGTAATAATTCCATGTAGAAAATGTTTTATGTGGCCTGCCTTCATTTTGCAGCAATAAATTATATCAGAAGAAAAGTAGTGCAAAAGCAGCTGTAGGTGAACCCCCACTGCCTCTTGCAAAATAAATTAATGCTGTTTAGAGTTAATACAGCAAAAGTTAGGAAACAAATTCACTAGTGTCACCAGTAAAAATTGAGATATGCATTTTTTTAAAAAAACTCAACCAATCATGAGTAGGAAAGTCTTTTTTTTCTCCATTGCCTGTTCATTCGATGACCCTCAGGAGTCTTTAAGCTGCTTCAGTACTTGCAGTACTCAAGCACAATAATATTGTTAATGTTAGAGATTTTGATTAACAACAGTGATTTTACTTTCTCTGCTTCAGAGGTTTTCATAGATCCATAGATGTATGGATAAATCTATATAAGTGACCTTGAGACTGTCATCCTGCTTGTCCTTTATATGACTGGAAATAGGGAGAGATGAGATAAAATACAAACATTCAGGAAGAAAGGCAAAAGTAAAAAAAAAACAAAACAAACATCAAGAGAAAATAATATATGAAAGAACAATGACTTTGGCAAACTCCACAGAAAGTAGAAAGTCTGGTTGATAAAATTGTTATACAAATGAATTGACATCTGTGATATGAAGGAAAAAATGAGAAGCATCTCTTAATAATAGTAAAATACTTTGACGGTATCAGTTCATTGTGGAGAAAAAGGCTGGGCAAGCAAAGTACAAAGAAGAAAACCTTATAACTGAAGGCCAGGACAGAATGACAAAACCAAAGGAAAAACTGATGACTATTATTAATCGTATTATCCATCAAAAATGGTAATTAAGGCAAGAATGGAGAGATTTTGCATGCATTGCATTGAAACTTTGTTCTATCATTTGATCTTTACAGTGTAAACCTATCTAGAGTCTAAGCCCATTTTCTGATGGTATAACAAAATACCTAACACTGGGTACTACATGAAGAAAAGAGATTTATTTAGCTCACATTTTTGAGGACTGATATACACCAGCCTCTCTGTGACTCTGGTAAAGTATTTCTGGCTATATCATAATATGGAAGATGCATCTTGGTGGTAGCAGAGAGAGATCACAGGGAAAGATAGGAAACAAGAGACTGGGGAAGCACTAGGTTTGTTCTTTTTGTAACTCACTCTCATGGGAAATCACTCACTCCTGGGATACCCACCATACTCTGTGAGACCACATTCATCAATTAATGAGAACAGAGCCTCCAAAGACTTAATTACTTTACACTATGTCTCTACTTCTTAAAGTTTCCACCACCTCAATTCCACCACACTGGGGAACAAACTTCAAGCACAGAAGTCTTTGGGGGACACTATATCTAACTCAAACTATATCTAACCATCAGCATCCAGACTATAGTTAACACCTTAACACCTCTCTCTCTCTTACTCCTCTAACACCCAGGGCTCTGGGATAATATAAACTTTTAAAAAAAAATCTTTTCCTAAAGACAAATTCTCTGGGCTAGGAAGTTGGAATTCTGAAGTTCAATGTTTGCTGACAGAACAAAATTTTAGCTCATCTAATGAATTTCTTTGAAACATGAAGAACAAAAATGGGGTACAATGAGGACCACATAACTTTGGGGTTATTATATCTTGTCTCCCACCCCCCTCTCACACCGACACATTTTAAGATCCACCTGCAATTTTAGAAAAATAAACCAGTAAGGTATTTGGGAAATATTCAAATTCATAAAGTTCACCAGGAAAGTGAGGAAGGAGAAGAGAAATGAGACAAGCCCACAATGGTATCAGTTAAATATGTTCCCCTTGAGGTGCTCCAAGAGGGGAAGTTGTTCAGCCATAAAACAAAGGCAGTTCATCTTTATGCATGACTACTTCTGAATAGACCTGAGTATTCTTCAAAATCTTTTGAAAGAAGCTTCAAAAAGAAGGAAGAAAAGTTCTTAGGAAACATTCATGTTGAATCAGAAAATATACAAGACTGGGATAGAACTGAGGAAAGCTTTGATGCCACACAAGACAGTGGTTAGGAATAAAGTATGAAGCAGGGAAAGTGCTCTCACACCCTAAATAGAAAAAAGGGAAGAAAATTATGTTGGCTCCATCCTGCCCATATTTTCATACTTTAAAAAATTAAGACTAAACCAAATCTATTTTTTTCCATAATTGTATATGTATATGCTTCCCAAAGTGAATTAACTGTTTCACAGAGTTCTTCTTTCAGAAGTCTGAATAATGTATTCCACCCAGAAAGAAACATTCTGGAAAAAGTTAAGTAGAATTCATAAAAAGAGAATTTATAAAAGGAGGCTTGTAAAGTAAGCTTTATGCAGGCAAGGACTTAGGCACCTGGCACTCAGTAGGTGCATAATAAGTATAAGTGCACAGAATAAATTCTGAGTAATGAAATTACAAAGCTAAGAAGGGAAGCAGTAGTTATTAAAGTTAATTGTTGCATGTGCAATGAAGGACTTTGGTGACTCCATAAACCTTTATTGGCTATTTGCATTATCTTCTAGTATAAAAAACAATTGCCATAATTTCTAGGTTAAAAAGGGAAAAGAAAACAGAAGAGAAAAATCACAAGTTCAAAATTCTCTAGTATCAATAAAGCCCAGAGTTGTGCTCTCTAATGCCTGAAAGTACATTCTTTGCTGTATTTTATATAGACTTCTCTTCTTCCTGTTTGGTTCTAAAGTGGCTCTTAACCTCACTAAACTTGATTCCTCATCCATAAAGTAAAATTGGTAATGTCTGTTCACCTTCACTCCAGCCACATGATAAAAATATCAAAAGGAGGAATTAGAGGGAGTGAGGCTCAGAACACAAGGACTGAGCAAGGTGGGTCTACACCATGACATGCCAACAAAACCTGCCAGCTGTGACTGTCAGGTAGGATGTGAACACATAAAGAGCCACATCACACATCAAGTATCCGGGTGTGCAAACCCAGGGAAGAAACAAAAAGACCTCATAGAAATACCAAAAGGAAACTCCTTATTCCATCCTTTGGAGTGAAAAGCAAATATCTCCTCTTGAAAAGAACAAAAAGATAGGTTTAATGTCATGTCTGCAAAAAGATGATAAGAGAACCACAAACACATTTGTGAATAATAACGTGAGGTTGGTCAGCAACAATGAATAGAGATAACCTGCCCGTGGTGTTCTTGTTATGTCATCAGAGAAAATGGTCCTGGCAAAAGGAAGGGATGCACTTGACTCAGGAGTAGTGAGGTTCTCAAAGCGTGAGGTGCTGAAAAATTTCAGCATGTACCAATAGAGCACAGATATTTATTGAGGAAAGCAAGGGTTACACATTCAAGGGAGGGATACTTTTGGGGGTGGGGAGTTGTTCCCTGATACTTGTTTAAAAGAAACTTGGTGAGAGGTGTGTGGGATAGCATGTGAGTCACTTTGGTCATTTTGGGGACCTTTAAGCTGAGGTGATCTGCATTAACTAATCCAGTAGATGATATTAGAAAGTTCCCTAAATTATAGGTTTCTTACAATTTGGTATTTCTCTTCTTTATTGAGCTAATTAACAATGCACAAAGTAATTATCTTATATGAGTGAATTTACAATTAACTCAAAAATTTACAATTTTCCCAGAAATTTGGCAGTGACAGGCCTGGGAGAGAGACTTGCGTGAGGAATGACAGGACTAGAAAAAAAAAAGTAGAAACTTTAATTAAAATTATGTTTATTTGTCCTTCCTTTATGTCTTCTTTTGGTCTATTTTTTTTTCTTTCTTTCATCCTCCCTCAGTTAAAGAGAGATCACAGTCTGCTAAATGGATAAGGTGATATCAGAAGAATCTGAGACTCTGGGATCCATCATGAATCTCAAACCAGAGCCAGGTTTCGACAGTGCACATGGGGACTGAGGGCCATATTTCAAGCAGAATGAACAGAACAAGGTAAAGCAATGCAGCACGGGATGCCTTTGCCATGTGTTATAAGTCAAATGTGAATTATCTCTTCAGTCAGAACTCACACTGTCAGAGAATGGAGTAGGCACCAATAAAGCTAAAAAGGAGCTTTTTAGAATGATATGGATGCTGAGATGATTAATTTATTCTTAACTGGTAGAGAAAAAGTCAAGCCATTGTTCTCACAGACAAACTCTTAGCCCCTATGCCAATAACTAGATTGAGAGTAATATATCTGAGCTCTATCTATATCAGTTGTATCTACATCATTACTTTGAGCTGCTTTCACCTAAAAGTGTGAAATTTAGAATTAACCAAGGGCAATGTGATAGCTGTATCTTCAGTTGTGAAAATAAATCTATGCAATGCGAACACACACACACACACGTATATATATATATATACACACTGAGTTTTAAAAAGGGATTAATTTTCACTGTGAGTGAACATGTGTGATAGTATTACTTCTCATCAAAATATTGCATGTCATTTTAATGTAACAGAAACTAATTGACCCCAGTGGACTGTAAGGGCATAAATGGATACAGGGAGTGGCAATGTCACAGGGGTACCATTCATTCTTTTCTTCCCTATCTGAGAAAGTACCATGGCACTGCTGAATGAATGGAAGAAAAGAAAGGACAGCTTTCCAGCAGGATAAACTAAATGTTAATCTTATATAGTCTAAGATGTATGAGGCTTGTAGAGTGTTTGTTTTCTCAGAACAGAGCTCTTAAAGTCAAAATCAGGAAGGTGAAATCTACACCTACTTAGAGCGCTGATGCCCTCGTGTGGGAAGAGAAGAGTTAACACACATCCCAACCTCTAAGAAGTGTGAGACACCTGGGGAAGTTCTGCACACTAACACTATAGAAGTAAATGGATGGTTCATAAAGTGATTACCAACATACATTTGGAATTTTCTTTTTTTTTTTCAATTAATGTTCTATAGACACTTTGTTTAGTATTCAAGTTTGCTGGAAATGTAAAAATGCATGAGATGGCAGTAATTCGTTTTTCTTATAATAATATGTATAAGAATGTTTTGGCTAATTTCCAGTTAACAGAAGTCTAATATGAAAGCTTTTGAAAAACAGCACTGTGTATACCTTGAGGTGCTCTGTTCATTATATCTGTCTAATAAAAATCAGTTCCAGGATGCTGATTTATTGATGCTGCAATTTATGTAAGCTCAAAATCATTTCAAACCTCAAGCTATGCCACAGCCCAAAGTTTCTATTGCCTAAAATTCTGGGAGAAAATCCAGTCGTAATTAAGAAAATTTGCCTTAAAATCCAGCCTGCTCTCCTTACTGTGGAAAAATACTACCCCAACTTGATTCATTGAAGAATATCCACACTTCAGAAGCCTGGAAGAAACATCTGAAGATGTAAAACCACTGGTAAGCCTATATACAGTCAGACTCAGAATACTTCATTACTGTAATAACAGTCAGTTGTTCATTTTAAGTTTTTCTTGAAGTTTCTGTGAGACTCTAGTATTTGTACAGATTCATTTAGGCATGTCACATATGCCTCTTCTCCCTGAGATCCATTCTCTGCTTTCCCTTGCTCTGTTATGAAATGAGAGGATTGATACCTATGAAATCACATTTTCAGCTGGGTTCAGCTTGTGAGAGACATGGGCCAGAGATCTAAACCGGAGGGAGGAAAATGCCAGATGCTCTGGCCTCAATGTTTATGTCTCTCCTAAATTTATATATTGAAAGCCTAACCCTGAGCGTGATGGTGTTGGAGGTGATCAGGTCATGAGAGTGGAACCCTCAGGAATGGGACAAGTATCCTTATAAAAGAAGACCAAGGAAGTTCATTTGCTCCTCTCACCAAGTGAGGACAGGGCAAGAAGGAGACATGCTGTGTGACATACAGAGAGTCCTCAGCAGACATGGAATCTCCAATGCCTTCATCTTAGAGTTCCCAGCTTTTTCTATTTATAAGGTCTCCCCTTCACATTATTTTGTAACAGCAGCCTGAAAAGATTGAAACAACAAGTGTCTCTTTCTCTCTTTCTACTTCAAGCAATGTATCTAGTGGTGGTTCTATCTCCTCCAAGGTTCTGTTTGTCCTGAGCTCTGCCTATTGTGTTTTTAACCATTCCTAGGTGAGTGCCTCATGACTCCTAAATTCACTTACTCCTCTCTGCCTTTCTGTGTTTAGCTGTGAGAACAACCCCCTTGAAGTTGCTGGTCTCTTCTATTGACTCTTTGATGAATTCTAACAAAGTTTTTATGAGTTTCCCTACATTAAAATGCATCTAATAAACTACCCCACACAGATTCAGCTTTCTTAACTTGACCATGATGGATGCACTGTGCAAGAGCCATTCATATTTCCTTTAAAATGTTGTATATTATCTTCTATTCAAATGAGAGCACGGAGCAAAGTAATATGAACCATTCACTTTCTTACATAGCAAGAGGTATGTCGGAGTGAATACACAAGAAGGTTCTATCCAGTCTTTATAAGTTGTTAGAACAAAGGGAAAGAGTTAAAAGATGCAATTTTGATAGAATCAAGGAGTAAAACAAAAGGAAAATGTGGCAATATAAACACATATTTGTAAAAATCCTCCCATTTCCTGAAGGACAAGTTGGGAGGTGGGACAGACAGAAAGGATAGAAAAGCAATTTATTCATGCAGATATTCTTAATAGCTTCATCCTCTTACTACAACTTTAGAGAATATTGGCTTATTACTATACCAAGTGGACCAACTAGAAGGGAACTCCAGGGGCGTTACAGAGCTTTCTTGCTTCATTGCACAGTGCATTGGGGCACAACATGACTTGAGGCAAACCTTTATGTCTTTCACATCTGCCTGCTTACAGATCCCTGTGCAGAGGTCCCTTCAGTTCAGGGGTGGGATAGATGCAAGGCCTACTGCTCTGTAGAAGGTGCATAAGAGATAGAGAAAAACCAACCTGCAGTTTCTGCTGGCCCTCATCTCAACTGGCAATTAAGACACAGAAAAAAACAAAACAAAACAAAAAACCTCCACAGCATAAGGCCTATGCCTTATTTGATTGCTGACATGGATTTTAGCTGAAGGGTGGAGTCTGCAAAAAAGTATAATTTGCAGCTGCATGCCAAAGGTGATTGAAAAGCTCATGCACAAAATGAAAGGCTCAAAAGCTTTGGAGCCTCATCCTAACTCAAATTATTACCAAAATTACCAATTCATTTGGAATTGATGGAACAAAGCAAAATGAAAATAATAGAATTTTGTTTTCTTTTCAATAAAATTTTAATATCTCATTTCTCAGGTTCTTTTTTCCTAATATGATAGTGTTATTATTTCTTACATGTCTTATAAGAACGTTTATCTGAAGGTATCCCAACATTAAAACAAGTTTCTTTCTATTATAGTTTTGAAATTATTTTTTGGTCTTTTCATTCATCCTTTTTTTCTTTTTCAGACACACTGTGTGTGTGTGTGTGTTTGTGTGTGTGTTGGGTCTCCATATTGTTTGTTATAATTTCCTTCAATATTTCTTATATTTATTTATTCTGTTTTGCTTTTCTTTCTGGTTCTCTTAAGCTTGCCCTTCACTTTTTCTGATTTAAATATTTGCCAGATAGATCATTTACTTCTTCTAACTCATTTTAAGTTCTGAAATGCACATATTTTTCTCTTTGTTTTTCTTTTTCAGTTCCCTTGGTATCTCATTCTATTCTCGTTTTGCTTTGAAATTATACTTTGAAATTTTATAACATTTTTGTTATCATTTTCTGATTAGTCATCTTTGAAGGAATTATCTGTTCACTAGACATGCTATTTGGTATCAATTTTTTTAATAAAGCAATAAGAATATTTCTTTATCTTGATATATCTCACAAAGGGACAACTAACATCAAAAAAAAAATTTAAAAGATGTTTGCTGTATTATCACCATAATGTACCAACCATGAGTATTTCTCATTTTCCTGGAATTACTAATCAATGCAATTAGCTAAGAAAGGGAATAATTTCGAAAAAGAGAAGGCAAGTATTGTATTATTTCCAAATTACTTTATTATATACCCAGAAAATCCCAAAAAGATTCATCAGAAAAAAGTAACATAAATAGTAAAAATTTTATTAAGATGTCCAAAATCAAAGAGATTAAAGAATCAGTCTATACAGCTTTCCAATGTATTAGAAATAGTCAATTACTATAAAGAATTGCAAAAAAAAAAAAATGACCACTATTCCAAACTTTTATTTGATAGCAGTTAAAATAAAAAACCTCAAATAAAAAGAGAATTTGTTGACTTACATTCCCAAAATGTCCAGGGGTAATGCATTCTTTAAATGATGCTCAGTGTAGTAGAAATGTTAGCAAATATCCTATTATTTCTGTGTGTTGGTCTCTCCTTTTCATTTATTTCTTATATGAAAGATCATCTTCCCTTCAACCACTGAACCAGAGTTCTGGGCTTTTCTCTAATTGGCTCACCTTAGGTCAAACTTCAGTCATTGTGACTGAAGGCATCCATGTTTTAATGGCTCTGGCCCAGATTGTGTGGCAATCCTGAACATATCATTTTAGCCACAGGCTGCAATTTTTCTCCTTTGGTGTCAGAGCTGAGGCCAATCCCAACCAAAACTGCTCTTTCATAATGAGGTAGGTTGGGTGAGTAGAAGATGTCAAGGAGGCATCCATAGTTGGTGATGATGGTGATGAAGATAATGTCATGGTGATGATGTTCATGTTGACAGCACCAATTCCAGCTAACATAAATTATTTAACATGCAGCACTCATTGTGCTAACTACATTCTAAACATATTTGAATGCACTAACCTCATTTGGTTCTTGTGTAACTATATAATATTATCCACATAAAGTGCCTATCACTTAATAATGATAATATTAATGATAATAATGATAATAATTAAACAATTACCACTATTAACATAAAAGGAATGGTAATAATAATGATCATTAAAAAGAGGAAGAATAATAGTGATAATAATATTTGTAGCAACAATAATGATATAAGCACCAGGTATTGTTATTCTCTTACTTTATAACTGAGACTTGAAGAGGTTATGTGATTTTAAGTTAAATAGAGATCATAGTAGATTTTAAGTTAAATAGAGATCATAGTAGTTTAAGTAACAGAACAGAAATTCTAACCCTGGTCTATCTGGCTTAAATGTCTGCTCTATTTATTTATTGGGTGATTTTGTTGTTGTTATTATCAAAATTTTTAAGTTCTTTTTATGTCCTAGAGATTAGTGCTTTATCTGATGTGCCTTTTGGTAAACATTTGCTCCCATCCTGTAGGTTCTCTCTTCACCTCACTTATTGTTTCTTTTGCTGAGAAGAAACTTTTCAGTTTGAATCCATCCCACTTATTAATTCTTGATTTTATTTTTTGCACTACAGGAGTCTTATTAAAGAAGTCGGAGCCTAATCTGACATGGTAAAGATTTGGGCCTACTTTTTCTTCTATTATTATTCTATTATTCACAGGGTCTCTGGTCTAATTCCAAGGTACTTGATCCACTTTGAGTTGAGTTTTGTGCATGGTAAGAGGTAGGGGCTTAATTTCATTTTATTGAATTTGGATTTCCAGTTCTCTAAGCACCCTTTGTTGAAGAGGCTATCTTTTCTCCAATATATGTTTTTGGCACCTTTTTATAGTATGAGAAAACTGTATTTATGTGGGTTTGTCTTTGTGTCCTCTATTCTGTACCATTTGTCTATAAGTCTATTTTGGTGCCAAAACCATGCCATTTTTGTTACTATTCCTCTGTAGTATAGATTAAGATCTGGTATAGTGATGCCACCTGCTTCACTCTTCTTGGTAAGGATTGCTTTGGCTATTCTGAGTCTCTTATTTTTCAAGCTGAATTTCATGATTGCTTTTTCTGTTTCTATGAGGAATGCTATTTGGATTTTGATTGGAATTGCATTAAATCTGTATAGTGTTTTTGATAGTATGGTTATTTTAACAATAGTATTCTGCCTATCCAAGAACAAGGGAGATCTTTCCATCTTCTAAGATCTTCTTTAATTTCTTTCTTTGTTTTCTATAGTTTTTATTGTAGAGGTCTTTCACCTCTTTGATTCCCAAGGTTTTTTTTTTTTTTGAGGCTATTATAAGTGGGGTAGTTTTCCAGGTTTCTCTTTCAGAGGATTTGTCACTGATGTACAGAAATGCCTTTGATTTATGAGTGTTGATTTTATATCCTGCTACTTTGCTGAATTCATTCAGACTCTTCTCAGAAGAGTATATATAGTGAATCAACAAATATATAAAAAAAATATGTTCAACATTTCTAGCAATTAGAGAAGTGCAAATCAAAACTACTCTAAGATTTCATCTCATTCCACTCAGAATGGCAGCTATTACTAAGACAAACAACAATAAGTGTTGGTGAGGATGTGGGGGGAAAGGCATACTTATACACTGCTG